TATTAAAATAAAAATGTAGGTGCCTACTAAATCACTGGTTATCATACATTTCATCTCGTACTAAAGCAAGATAAAAATAAAAATTACTTTGACCCYACGAGGCAGTCGAAAACGACATATTTTGCAGTTTGGGCGTTTTGTAATTTTATAAAATATGTCTTAATAGGAAATGGTATTATAAGACGCAAATTACAAAATTTCAAAATGTATATTCCAATACCACGTTCGTATTTTATATTTTTTTAATATGAACGGAACTCATTATGAAAAACTGTTTAATATATCTCACCTAATGTAATACTAAATTTATACAAAAATAAAAAAATATAGATACCTACCACCTAGGTATACTGATTATACACCGAGCAAGCAATAAAAAGAAATCACTTAGACACGTGTATCTACTTGTAATATTTTGTAGCAGACTGAAGGATTATTATTTATCATATATAMGCATATTATTGTAAAGTACTCAAAAATGGTTATATCTATATTATATAGTTGAACTCCATGATAATAGAGAACGCATGTAAACATGACCCTAACTTCAAGGATATATATATATATAAATTGTAGATAATACATATTAAATTGTATATATTATAATAAAATATAAATATTATAATGAAGGTTTTATGTCACAGCACAATTTATATTTTTGTTTTGCACATTTGTCATTTACACATATAGTGTCTCATACTATGCATACTTTTAGGCTTTGGTCCAAAGTATTTTGAAACTATATCATGCCAGTATGAACAATGAACATTTAATCAAAAATTTAAAATATCTACGGTTATTAATTTATGAGTTATTTACACCAAATAAACAAAATCAATTTGTCTAATACTAGATTTGARTTACAATTTCAGTTTATCTTTTAGGGATTTGTTTAGTTTATCCCAGCTATTCTGAAAAGTATTGAGCATTTTTTACTTTTAACCGCTAACCAACGACTAGATTTAATATTCCATAAGAAATCGTCCCCAAAATGGAAAATCAAAGTAATATTGTCTATGTTACTACCCAAAAAAGTGATGACAGAAAAAAACACTAACATAATTGTACTATCAATATATTCAACGCTCTGCTCAAAATCTGAAATTGCTATATTTCGTTGAAAATTGTAGAAAAATAAAAATTAATTTTTTCCATACCATTGTCTATGATAAATTAATATTTAATTATTCTAATATTCGACCTTCAATCGTCCTCACTAATAATTTTACATAAAAAATGGGTTATTAATTATTGGTTTATGT